GAGATCTTTAACGTGCGCAACCTACATACAGGACCTTCGAAATTGTTTCACCCTTATCCAAGAAGCTAGGTATTGAATCTTACCTACCCTAAAATCATGGGTGGGGCTAAAAGACAATAGTGAGAGTGAGACAAGAATACGCACCTGAGCGTAGATGTTCATGGTGACATTTCCCCGCTGAAAGGGTTGCACCTCCTGCTGGTGGAGCAGTGGGTTTATTTATTTGCCCCAACCCACGGAGGGACACGTCTGTCTAGAATAGCTCCAGGAAAATGAAAAAAGGAGAAATACTAACATCTCCATGCCAGTTGACTACCATCAATTATACCATCTGTGTAAACTGACTAGCACCGAACAATGCTGATCGGGAAAGTAGGGACTCACGATCTTTGAATTCAAATGTGATTTTTTCGTCTATGTAGCTTATACTTTTTCATTGTTTATTATACGTGAACTCAAGCGTGAGAAATGATGAAAGCTAAATACACAGGAAGAAACGAATCCCTGCCAGGTGCAATCAATTAATTTACTGAATAAGGGCCAGTTAAAGCACTATACTTGTCATTCTAAGGCTAGGGACACGGTGACACGGACAGGGACAGTCAGTTGCTGTCACAGCAACACATCAAAAAGCGTGCACGCCAAAACCGCTCACGATTTCTTTAACAACACACCAACCCGACAATGTTGAACACGGACAGGCACAGACAGCAACAGCCAGCGACGGTCAGGAAAATTCGAAAAGTGCGTGCACTACTTATTCTGTCTGTCTGTTTCAAGGGAGTTAGAGGATTTTGAAGAGAAACTGATCATTGCGTGCAAGAAAGGCCAGCAATTTATGACAAGAGCGAAAAACATCACGCTAATCTTCCTCACACAGGTCTAGAAGATTTCCGAACGTCTTAATTTTCTTCGTAACCACAATAATAATAAGAGTTTTTTCTTCTTTGTCAGCGCCATGATTGATAATGTTGCTGTCTCTTGCTGCCTGTTTGAATGTGACCACATTTCCCTGTGCCTGTCCGTCCCTGTGCGACAGCAAGTAGCTGTCCCTGTCTGTCCGTGTCAGGGTACGAACACGTTGACACGGACAGACAGGGAAAGATCTACACCTAGCCTTCTCGGACAAAGGCGAAAAATCTCATAGGGCCCGTGTGCAAGTTGCGCACGTTAAAGATCCCTTGATGGTTTAAAATCGATACGAGTAGGCTTCGGCCGCCACCTGAGCAAAATTCAAAATTTCCTACCAACTGAAAATATTTGGTGTGTCCCGCGCGCTCATATAACCTTTTGCAGTTGCGAGCGCCGTAAAACACTTTACAAAAAAAAAATAATAATAACCTAACTATTACACTGGTCGAGTCTACCTCACAGATGTGAGGGGTTCTAATTCCTAATAATATCTTGACTGCTGCGAGTTCTTGTTTTTTTTCCTCGACTTTTTACTGGCCTATAATCAGATCATGACCTCGATCAATTTAAAATTGTCCCCAGTCCAGTCGGGTAACGTCACGCAAACTGCAGAACCCGAGTTGGCGACGGCGAGACGGCATTGGGTATTGACAGCGAGGCACCCTTCCCAGTTTTTCGGCGTAATAAGAATGTAGTTTGGATTCCGATAAAGCCGACGGTGCCGATCGGTGCTTAAGTCGCCTGCAGTCTGCCAGCTCTATGTGGGGCAACTTGGAAATCATTAGAGAATTTTTATACATCTCGGCACTTACCAAGTCAGTTCTTGAAATCGGCGTTCTCTTTGTCTTCACCCTATTTATTGTGTGTCAGCCCAGGCTGAACCTGACAGACAGGGCCGACGATAATAATTTTCTCAATGATCGAAATTGCAAATGAAAGGATGGGTGTGTGTGTGTGGGGGGGGGGGGAACACTTGTAAGATTTTTTTTTTTTTAAATCAAGTTTCATCCCCATGAGATGCCTTGAAGCCGACATCTGCGATCATGGTTCGCCATTAACGTCTCTGCCCGGACGCTCGGAAAAAACTATGTTTTGTAAAACATTGTTTATTATTATCCTGGTCCTTTCTGATCACTACCCGTTCTTTCAATTTTTAAATAAGTTATTTTTTGGTCCATCTCTGCCTCTGTTGCCTTCAATTTGTCCTGTCAGAGTTCGAGTTAGAGTCAGATTTTAGTTTATGTCGATTCAAGTGTCCTAGTTACAGCGTTTAATTGTTGTTGCTTGGTTGGGGGTTTTTTTCCCACCAATCGTTAAAGCACATTCTCAGGTATTTTTCAGAAAAATCGTACAATTTACAAAACAGTGAAAAGCGATCCCCAACTCAGCCCTTCACAAAGTACTCGCTGACTCGTAATACAATCCACACTGTGCAATAATGTTTTGAGTTTGAGTAAAGACATAGACACATAGACACAACAATGGGAATTCAGTGCTGAAAAACTCAAGCAAGACGAACAAAAGAGGGTAAAGTAAAAAAAAAAAAAGTAAGATCTACCAGTGGCGATCTTCAAACACCCACTCCATGCAATGAGCGTGCTTAGTTACCAGCACTACAAAACCTGTGTGGCATACAGCAATGCAACCGACGTCTGTGATCTAACGGTTAGGCGCTTCACCGTCGCTGCAGGACACTTCAAAGTGGGGAGAATTCTTTGTACAATACCTCAGTCTTTCTTATCGGATATTGTATTCCTCACAGCCCGGGTTGACCTTGGAAGACAGGATCAAATCCCACCTCATAAATAGCCTAGATTGTGTCAATGGAGGCGTAAAAACAGCTACATAAGAGAAATCACAATAATGATACTATTATAAATATATCCTCACAAGTGTCAAAACTGTCACAGGCGAATAACATGGCACTAGAAAAACTCACACGATTCCATTTGTATTGTTTAAGTAAACGACAAACGTCTAACAGCGTTCAATATCAGGACAAGCTGTCTCGTGTTTCAGGAGTGGATGATTCCAGCATAAGGGGAACTGTCGATTTGCACTTATATAAAAGGGCCAGATTCTGAATAAATGTGTCCAACCCCCTCCCTTATCTTCCGCCACCCCACAACTACACTACTCCAGCGACAAATTCTGACAACTCAACACTTCACCATTCCTGCCCCGAATTCTGCCCTCCCCCCCCCCTTTCCGTATCCAACACGATTTTTAAAA